CTCCAGTGCTGTATAGGCTAGGCGCAGCGCGCCAAGGTAAACAGTCAGATGACACCTTGCTGCTCGAGCCGATGAGATGGGGCTTGCTACCACCCTCCACCAAGGTCATCCCCAAGGGCCAAGACATGATCCGCACCATCAATGCGCGGGCAGACACTATTCTTTCCGGTCGGGGTCTGTGGAATTCACCGTTCACCAAAGGCAAGAGATGTGTCGTGTGGACACAAGGATTCTATGAGTGGCTGGCCACTCCTCAAGCTAGATTACCTCACCTCATTGGGATGCCCAACCATGGCCTTGGCAGGACGGCGGTTGATGGTAAGGAGAGGGAAATGATGCCCCTGGCAGGACTATGGGAAGAATGCACTTTGGATGACGGGACCAAAGTGAAGAGCTTCGCCATATGCACCACGGAGATCAACAAGCAGCTTGAATGGCTTGTGAGTATTGAATGGCAGACGTACGGTCAGCAGGCCAGAGCGTCCTTGTATCACTGATCCGCTCGCGTGCCGTCTACAGCATACACGCATGCCAGTCATCCTCCCAGACCTGAGGGCCATGCAAGTTTGGCTCGGAACAGTCGAAGCGCCTCTTTCTCATGTGGCAGCTCTGATGCGGCCTTACTCAGGAGACCTCGAGTGTTACAGAGTCCCTCAAGAGGTTGGAAAGACGGGAACCGATGATGCAAAATTTCTTCTACCCATCGAGCAGCGCAAAGATGGGATCGCGCGAGCCTTCGGCCGCTTGAAGAAGAGGGACGCAGAGGAAGAGGGGGGCGCTTCGGAGCAGCAGTACAGGGCACAATTGAAAAAGGTCAAGAAGGAAGAGGACAGGGAGATCAAGACTGACGCCGAGAAATCTGGACCTTCAGCGCCGAGACAAGAAGACGCAATCAAGCGCGAGGAGCGCTCAGGTGGAACACTCGCCATGAAAGAGGAGGAAAGGGATTCGATTCTTCGAGCGACTGAGCAGGTCGAAAGGGATGCACAAGATACCGAAATAACTCGGCAGGAGGAGCATAAGGTTGATGCTGGACATATCAAGCGCGATCCTTCGGAGCCAGCTCAGGATCAAATCGAAGCTGATAGAAAGTTTGCTGAAGAGCTGCAGAGGTCAGAGGAACCTTCAACCGCGAACGATGATGCCAAGTCTAAGCCAGCGCACATGGTTGATCAACATCGAGGCTTGTCCGACTCTGAGCCTTCGGCCGGGACGCCCGCACGCAGCTCGAGGTTCTCACCTGAGCCTTGGAACCCACCCTCTCCTACCTTTGGGTCATTCGACACAAGAGCTAGTGGGAATGGCAAGGCAAGTCAAGCTTCGCCCACTGGCCCCACCAGGCTGGAAGATATGCTCTCTGCTCAGAGATCTGCCGCCCACTCTCGACCCGGTGTTACCATCTCGCCCAAGTCGAACGGAGCTTCGCGAGTCAGTCCGTTTAAGGGGCAGGCAGGATCGCCAAAGAGCAAAGCTAAAGATGGAGCGGCCAAGGGCGCACCAGATATTCGGAGTTTCTTCAAGCAGTAAAGCGTTCTGTGCCCTCTTCGCTCTCACCGTCTTCTCGCCCTGCCTTGACTGTATCACTATCGATCACGCTTGCAACTGACTTGCGTCCAATTAGCATCATCATTGAGTCCATCTATTCAGGTGACATTCTTGAAGACGTAGATCAGAGAATAGGAGGGGTGGAACCTGGCATGGTTCGTAAAGGTCGATCGGAAGGTGGGTACAGTGCATAGGCCCTATTGTTCTCCAAAAGCTCGCTCCTCTCGTCCACTCCTTGCAGCCTAGCCAAAATTCTCGCTCTGTTCCACCACGACTTTGTCTTTCTTGTAGGAACGTCGCCCGCTAGCTCTGCTAGCAGCCGCTCTTGGATGACCCCTGAAGAAGCATCCCCCACAAGTTGTTTGCTGTTCTTGATGTGTTCGATCAGGCGCTGAATGAATCTCGAATTCTTGCGGATATCGATGCTGAGACCGTTCTCGTCTCGCACCCAAGACATTACTTCGACAGCGCCTTGAGGGTCGTCTAGCTTCAAGTACACGTTGATAATGTTCCTGTACGCTTTGAAGTCCTCCAGCAGATTTGGCGAATCTCGAGCGCTCGTGTCGCCAGCTTCGTGCAGGTTTCTCAGCAGACGTTGATTCGGCGGTGTGGGCGCCCACCGCAGTAGGGCTACAACGCGATCCAGAGCAGCTCTCAAAAGTCTTCTGCGTTCTTGT